GAACATGGTATGAACACTCATTCTGCTCTCATTGTCTTATCATTATTCATTCTATTTTTTTATTTTTTTCAAGCTTGAAAATGTCATTTCTTTTCATCCTATCGTTTGCCATGGTATTTGGTGTTACTGATGATGGTCTAAAACCTGTGCCTGTCCAAGAAGGCAAGAATGCACATTTTATGGTCAATACTACAATGCCAATTACCCATTTGAGAATTGGTGGAAATGAAAGTTTCTCTGCTAGCCCACTGTACATGAGAGTTGGTCAGGATAACAACATAAAAGTAAAAAATAACACAATATATAGTGGTAGACTAATATTTGATGGTAATCTACAAAGGGGACAAGCATGGGTCACTTTGGAAAATGTGGGGCCATCTGATTATGGAAAAGTCTTTAGGTTATATTACGTCGAAGATGGGAAAGCACCCACAAAAAAGGATTTTGTCATTAGACCAGAAGGTAAGTTGATAATCCAGCTATATGATCACTAATAAGCAATAAAGAGTACCAGTATTAATCATAATAAAAACTAAGGTGCTTCTTAAAGAAAAACTTTAAAGCTTGCTATTCAGAACATAATCCTTAAACCTACCTGATAGTTGTCTAATAGTTCTAGAGAGCCTGTGATCAGTGAGAGTCTGGGGAACTGGAGTCAGATTGTTCTGCAGTAGTGGTGCTCACAGTTTCACTTTCTGCTCCTCAGGGATGGCATAATGCATTTCTACCATAGTTACATACACCATTTGTATATAATTTGGCCTCCTTTGCTCTCATTTTGCATTTGTTTTTATTTTATCTTAAAGCAGGAAATAACACTAAAGAAAATATCACAAAGATCATTGGTAAGTAAAATATATGGTGAATTATATTTTAGCACTGTATTTCTAATAATGCAGCTAGACTACTGCTTGCATATAGGTCTTTTTCTCCCTCAGTTTTGGCTCAGTCTTACTGATACTCACATGGTATACAGCAAACTAAGAAGTCTCAATCTGCTTATTTGATCCAATAAATGTTTTCTTTTGTCTGACTTATGTCCGACCTGTATTTTAATTTAAGGTTCAATTCACACCCCTAACATTTTGATTAAACTTGACATTTCGGCAATACTGATGGATCCTATCGTCAGATATGTTTTATTACATGTAAGTACACCTTACTACTATGTAATCTTGCAGTCGAGACACCAACACCCAAGCCAGCAAGGAATGGAAAAACAACTACATATGCACGTAAGTATTTAGTGAATTAAACTATTTTCATGTTTCCAACTCCCGTTAATTACTATCTCTATGTCCCACAATCTCTACCAATTTAGCTTAGAATATCTCCAAATTTAAAACTCTGATTGCAGAAAATTGATTATAAATTGTTTGAATTGTTTGCTATCCTGTGAAAATAGAGTAAATTGCTCAATAGTTAATAGAGGGGAAAGGTTATGAAACCTATTGTTATAGGTCTTTGTTCGCTTTTGATGTTGAACCGGTCTTGACCATGCACAAGTTTTGATTTTTGCTCATCCAAAATTGCAAAATAAGCAAACATAAACTTCGTCTATGGGATTATTGTAAGGAATATTCAAATATCTCTTATAAATCTTTAAGTATTTTGAACTATCAGCCAAAATAAAGATTTTGGTCTGTTCACTCAGCCATTGCCAACAATGGTAAAACAAAGGATTGTGCAGGGTCACGCTTGAAAAAAGTGAACAAAGACATATAAGAATAGGTTTCATAACCCATTCCCCTCTATTAACTATGGTTGCTCGTAATCCTTATACTACTCGCTAAAACAATACTGTATTGTCCACTAATTAGAAACAAGTGGAGAACTACTACTATTAGGCACTCAAAATCCCTATGCGATAAATGAATGCTTTTGATTAATACAGTTTTTTTCTAACACATGTCTGTTTGCTTTGCTAGCGCCACAAAAGAGGTTACTCTTTGCATATATAAAATTTAGTTCCATATAACATGTAATAAAATATAATAATATGCGTGGACATGACAAAATAATAAACCAATATGAATTATATTATCCAGTGTCATAATCCAGTATCATAACATTTACTGTCTATATATATAGTTAATACAAGAATTCAGTAAATCGTTAAGGAAAAATCTTAAACTCCACACAAAGTTTGTACCAGGGATGACTGCCATTTTTGTGAACATATATAAAAAACAGACAAATGAAACTGAGTTTTTCATGTTCTGTTCAGCATAAATACAGCATGCAGGAAGTGTCAAAATGACTTTTAAAAAGCTCTAATATTTCTTATGAAGTTTTGGAAGTTCCCCTTGCCA